TATTAATATGGAGGAGATGGATTGTTTATAATAGAGTTTGTGGAGTTAGAGAAATTAATATTCGTTTACTTATATTTGAATATTAGCCTGGGATTTGGTTTGGGAAGTCCGGGGGGGTGGGATATAATATTGTGTAATAATATTGTGTAATACTGGTGTTGTTTTTTTTATGATGAAAACAATAAAAATTTTATATTGATATGATAAGAGAGTTCCGTTTAATATAGTTACAGTACTTACTACATGCTCCACAGGTGAAGCATCCATCATGGTAGAGATTCCCCATTGCCTGGCAGGCCTGGTTTGCACCATATACACCTTTGTTGCATTTCACACAGGTTCCTAAAGAAGAGGAGGAGGAGGAGGAGGAAGAGGAGGACGAGGAGGAGGAGGACGAGGAGGAAAAGATAATTTATCAGAATCAGATTACACAAATAACAAAAATTTCAAAAATTATCCCCAGGACTAAATGAGTTATTTAGTTTTATAGCATCAAGAATTTGATGAAATGTTAAATTAAAGCAGACAAAGGAGGAACAAGGCAGTGAGAAGCAAGGAAATTTAAGCAGATTTTCTTTTTAATTATCAGAAACAAACACATTCTGCATTTTCCTCATCCTGTTACCTTAACAAGGTTCATATGCTCAAAGAAGGAAAAAAATGCTCTATTGAAAAAGGATTTTCTTCCCTCTAAATGCTATGATTATTTTATGACAAGTATTACAGCACTGGCTTAGGAAGTAAGTGTGCTCATGCATGCATATATACATTTATTTCATTCTTTTGTCATATGTAACAGGAATGGGAATCCAATAGACCAAGGGTCCCCAACCCCTGCTCTGTGGACTGGTACTGGGCCGCGTCATGCCAGCAACCGGGCTGCACAAACAAGCCAAGCCCCATCCGCAGGATGCAGGCAGCACACAAAATCACGCACCGTCCAGTCCGCGGAAAAACCTCTCTCCACGGAACTGGTCCTTGGTACCCAAAAGGTTGGGGACCTCTGCAGTAGACTATGCTCATTGGTTACAGTTGGCTTTGAAATCTATGAACTGCCAAGACTGTAAGACCTAAATACCAATTATTCAAATATTATTATTTAATACTACAAGATGTCTGTATATGTGTTAAGGAAAACAGAAGAATAAATGTGTCTAATAAGTGAGTAATAATTGAACAGGATGAAATCTACTTTGGAATTATGTCCAAAAGGACAATGCCTTTATATCAATATTCAGTAGGAATATACTCTTTAATATCATTATTTGTTTTACAATGCTATTATACTTTATTCTTTTTTGCCAATATCTAGTAAGAAATCTATCTACTGAGAACTGAAAATTTCCCACCAGTTTGCAGGTCTTCTCAATACTACTTTATCATGCTTCTGATAATTTTCTCCTTGATGTCCTTAAACTCGAGATGGAATTTTTTTTCATTTTTATTTATGACAAGTTTTCCCATTCACATCTAAATGCTAAAGTTGGCTTTCTGAGTATTTTTCTTCCTATTTCTTGCAGCAATTCTTATTGGCTTTCTACCTTTAACTTTTTAAGACTCTCTATACCAGACATGTGAAAACACAAGGCCTGCCCACCAAATCTAGCCCGCGAAGTGGTTTCATGTGGTCTGTAGAGCCATCCTGGAAACAACAAGGGAATGGTCCCTGCTGCCTTGGCCCCAGCCCAGGCTGGCGGGGAGCCAATGCATAATTTTGTGGTGGCCATCCATGCTGGAACGCATTTAGTCTTAGCTCTACAAGGCCGCCTGGAAACAGCGAGGGACTGGCTCCTGCCGCATCAGCCCTGCCCCTTGGGCGCACGCTGGGGAGGTGACACCCTTTGCGAAGAATGAAGAAACGCACCATCGTCTGGAAGTGGCCAGCAAATGGCCCTCTCCTATTTCACATATCCGGCTTGGTGGGCTCCTGGGGAGGAGATGCTGCGAGCAGTGTGAGAGTCGACATTACCTATGCAATGCCGCCCACCCCCCAGCCTGCCCGGTTTTGGCAGGCAGTGGGGCGCTGTCCTCACAGCACCGAGAGGCCAAGTGGTGTTGCATAAAGATCATAACTGTGAAAAATGGTCAATCACTTTTTTCATGACCATTGTAACACTAAAAGCTCACTAATTGAATGGTTGCAAGTCATGCACTACTACCTTGTATTAAAAATGAAAAGGAGCTAAAAGAAAAAATAATCTGTTTACACTAAGTGCTTAAACAATTTAATAACAACTTCAAATATTAACCTAGGAAGCATGCCAAAATGCAATTGCTACCACTGAAAAGTCTTATATGCAAGGGACTGATTGTGTAACCCATAAAAGAATCTTTCCAAATAATCTTAGTGATTGTGCAGGTTTATAATGGGGAAGGCAATCTAACAGATATTTTGTTTATTTTATGGCCTATATGTCAATAGTTAGATCTTAAACTAGAAGTAACTTGTAGCTAAGATAAGAGTAAGAGTAACATGTGGATGTGAGGGGTCCACTAAGCCACCTGACTATTGAATTTTGCACTAGCAACAACTTCCAGGCTACATATTACACTACTATACTGTAAGCCAAATATGAGGATGGGCTAGAATAGTCCTGCAGTTACTGGACTGACCCTGTAGAGGAAAGGCATACCGTATCTAAATTCTTGAATAATTGATATTTTAAAAAACTGTTTTCAAAATATAAATATAAAAATAAAGAATCTGAAATCTTAAGAGATTTATGATTTTACAAGATAAATTGTAAATATCTTATTTCTTGGTATGCAGCTTTTCTCAAGGTTTTTTAAAAAATCTATTTAAATAAAACATGGAGAAAGGTTTGAACAGAAAAGAGAAAGTCAACAACACAGGACTTGTCTGTATTATGTGAACCATCCATAAGGCTATAAATGAGAATATTCCAGGTACCAAGAAAAAAGGCAAAACCAGCAAATTGTTTTTTCTTTACCTCATCAAGTCTGCTATTCTTCATCAAAATGTTTTTTAAAGTCTTGTCTGCAAAGTGAAACACATGTCACCTTTATTCAACACATTTTGAAGGAAAGAATAAACAATAGGAAGCATACATGTTTTCCCGAAAATAAGACACAGTCTTATAATTTTTTTGGCACCAAAAGACGCATTAGGACTTATTTTCAGGGAAACACGATATCAGGGTGATCAGCCCAGCCGGGTGCCCCAACCCCCAGCACATACAAGAGGTGGCGAGCATGTGGGTGCTGATGGTGTCCAGCAGAAGTCTGCTGTCCCCTTGGTGCAGCACAGGTAAGTCTGAGCGCGGAGGCAGAGGCGGGGGAAGGTAGGCGATCCGGATGCGCTGTGCGGCCACCTGGCTCGCAGCAGGCTCGCACGGCGGCTCTGGCAGCAGGCAAAAGAAGAGGCACAGGAGGAGGCAGGTGATCCCGAGGTGCCGCCATTCTGTCCCATTGTCTCTCAGCTTGCCCACAGCCACGCTGGGGCAGGCAATCCTGACATGCTGCCCACTCCGTCCCACCATCGCTCAATTTGCCTGCAGCCATGCCAGGCAGATGATCTTGACATGCCCCATAGCCTCTTGGCTCAATGCAGCCACGGGCAAGCCGACACACTCACTGCCTCCTGTGCTGGCCATGTACACTCCTCTGGGCTTATTCTTGGGGGTAGGGCTTATATTAGGCGCACCCTAAAAAATCAGAGTAGGACTTATTTTCTGGATGGGTCTTATTTTCTGGGACACACAGTAGTCTTGAGAATTAAATATGCCATATTTAATTGGTCTTTTTAAAAAATGATTTGGGATATCTGTCTCTTAACAGTCTTTCATAACTGGTGCCTTTAACACAAGTTGCACTAAATGTTCTACAAATTCTAGTTATACTCACTGCATTATTTTTGAAGGAAAATCCTTCATTAGCACAAGGAGTTGCAAGGAACTGTTCAGAGAATTTATAGTCATTCCTCTCTGCCTGCTTACCTTCTAACACAAGGACAGTATAATACAGTGCAGCTACTTCATCAACTTATATATTCACTCTCTGGCTAAATTCTAACATCAATTTAAGTCTTGGCCTTTTATCGATTGTCTACAGAAGAACCATCAATTGGCTGAATTTACACAACATATTAACTTATAAACCAAGGTTCACAGTAGCATTGGCTACTTTCATTACAAGATTCCTTACATGCCCAGTAACTCCCCAAAAAGATGATTAATAAATAACTTGCTTAGTAATTGTATCTAGGCATTCACCATATTGAAATACTGTGTTTCCCCCAAAATAAGACCCGGTCTTATATATTTTTTGCCTCCAAAAGAGGCACCAGATCTTACTTTCAGGGGATGTCTTACCTTAGGACCACTGCAGCCAGGCCTCCCACGCCCCAACACCTGTCACACCGCTGCTTGATTTCTTCAGCAGCCACTTGCCGCTGCTTGCGGCTGGATGCCATGTGGCACATTGCACCATTGCCACCGCTCGTAGTAGGAGGCCACATGGTGCTTCAGGTTGCCGCTGCCACTCAAGGCCGCATACATGGCACCAATCGTGCCAGCACCGCCACTTGCGTCAGGAGGTCACGCAGCGCTTTGGGCCAATGCTACCACTCGCGGCTGCATGCACAAAGTGCCACATGGCCTCTTGCTATGAGTGGTGGCACCAGCCCAAAACGGCCTGAAGCACTATGCAGCCTCCTGCCGCGAGTGGTGGCACCAGCCCAAAACAAGTCATGCGGCCGCAAGCAACCACAGAAGAACTCCGGCAGCGGCTTGGCAGGTGTCGGGGCATGGAAGGCCTGGCTGTGGCAGTCCTACCATGCCCTAGCTTGATTTTTAGGCATGTACCTCACCTCAAAAATAGGGCTTATTTGGGGGGAAGGGTTTATATTAGCCCCCCCAAATCAAGCTAGGGCTTATTTTCAGGATAGGGTATGTAATTATGATGGTTGCAATGTCCTAGGGTCATGTGATCACCTTTTGCAATCTTCTGATGAAGTCAATGGGGAATCCAGATTCACTTAACTGCTAACTTAACCCACTGTAGTGATTCACTTAACAACTGTAGCAAGAGAGGGTATAAAATGGGGCAAATGGAAATGTTGGGCTCAATTGTGATCATGAGGTGAGGACTATGGGTACAGTAACTAGTACCAATACCAAACAAACCCATTATGAATCAGCATGACATGCATGCCCAATCAACATGTAGTACAGAATGTGCCACTAATTGTACAGAATGTGCCCTCAATTGACTCATTGCACTGCTCTCATTTACACAGGTGAGGAGCTTAAGCAGCAACTGTTCCTCCTAAAATAATGAAAAGTCTTGGCACTTCATCCCAACAACCATACAGTGAGTCCAACAAATAGGGATTGAAAGCCAACTTTGCAATTATTCCTTGACATCAGCTGGGAAAGTTGTTGACTTAGTTGCAAACAAAAACAATCTAAAATCAGAACAGATTACCATCAAGTACAACTGCAAAGAATCTGAAACAGGTGCTTTACAAAATACATTACTATGAGCAAATAACCTCTCCTTGAAGCATTAAGGCCTCAGCATCCTTTGGAAAATGGGCATGGCTGCTCTGAAAGCAGTCCATGCCTGTCTATTGCATGCATTTGCTGCCATAGCAGGAAGTGTTATCTAAATATGTAGAGGTACATGAAAACAAGTGGAAGGAGACTTCAAACCAGCTATGTGAATCTTTAAAGGATGTAATGCCCTGAGTAAAAGTACTTTGCTTTGCTAAAGTGCTTGGTAAAACAACTCTTTCAAATGCTTTGCACAGCTGTACAGTTAAGTGCAACACTTACCTTTTTGCCATTCACTTCAAAATAACAAGTTTGTGGCCAATATTATTATTTATGCTACCTGCCAAATTCCCAAAAATGTTGGTTATAAACACTCAGTTATTAGCTTTTAATTTATTGCTCCAGAAAAAATGATTTTAGGAAAGAAAAATTGGGGCTGCATACTTTAAGACTAAAGTTCATCTTTAAAAAGGGGGGTTAATTCATTTCTTCTCTAATTTATTATCTACCTAAGTTATTACATTAAAATAGTAGTTTTCAGAAAGTATAATTTTAAAAGTATTAGTTAAACTAATGATCAACAGTAAAGAAAAATACATGAAAAAGTATGTTCACGGGTACAAATATTGTAACATTTATCATTAAACACACCATTTTAAAAGATGTACATTATGCTATAAAGAAAATACATATACTTACCAAAGTAGTCAGCCTTGGGACATGCATCCATCTCTTGCTCCAGGCGCTGAGTAAGAGCTTCTAATTTTAATTCAGCAGTAGAGGGCCCTTGGTCTTGCTGTGAAAGGAGCATCTGACAGGGTAATTTTATTTTTGCAGAACCAGACATTTCTTGGGGACCAGAGTCATGCTGCTGAACAGCGATACTCTCCTTAAAAGGAGATTTGGGAACATCAGAAATCATTGGTCCATGAGATGTTGCAGTGATAGAATTCTGCTCAAGACTCAGACCAGAACCAGAAGAATTAAGCCTGTGATTTTGACCATGAACTACAAAATGATCTGAAGTGTATGGATGAATATTGTGCTGCTGATAATCTGCACTTGAAGGCACTGGAGTAGAAATTGAAGGTTGAGTGCTTTTGCTGTGCCTTGGGTGGTTGTCTCCACTACTTTTATTTGGATGAAAATTAACAGACTGATGAGTCTGAGAAGAATGTACTGATGAAACAGAACATGATGGAGATTTCTGCTGTGAATATCTCATGGCTGATTCATCATCAATCCCAACTGAAGAAGACAAGGGGGTACTATCATGGGAAAAAGATGGTCTCTGGCAAGTTAGGTTTTGGATACAGCTTTTAAGTCCAGAGCCTTCATTTCCACTTTCCTGACTTCCATACCCACTTTCTGAAGATCTGTAAGGGCTTTGAGATTGTTGGCATAGATGAAGATCTGCATGAGGTTTTGTAGGGCTTCTCTGCAATGAGCCATCTTGGCTGTTTGACCATAATTGGGAGCCGATATTTGATTTCTGGCTGCAAAGCTTACTAGCACTTTTCCTCCTTCCTTGAACACCTGTTTGATTATCACCATTGCTGTGTTCATCCCATGACAGGGAAGGAAGAACTGCCTTAGAACCACCTGGGTTTGTCTGACCTGATCTGTGGCAACTTGATTCTCCAGGAGTTTCTGGACTCTGTAGACTGCTGCTATATCCATAGTCATCTTGATATATTTTTGTTCGCTCCCCATCACTGTGACATTGAGGCTGGCTTGGAAAAGCGAGCTGATGACCTGCACATACTGTTGATGGTACAGACAAAGGGGGCTTAGCAACATTTTCTCCTGGATGCAATTTATTTGTTCCTGTGGTGTCTTTGACTACAAAATAACTTGGAAGCTGACCACCAAAATTAAATCCACCATTCAAAGCCCCCGAGGCTCCTTTCACCAGTTCCTCTTGTTCTTGTTGTTTCTGCAGGTGAATTTTAGCCATTTTTGTAGCAAAAACTCTTCTGGTTTCTTCAAATTCTGGGTTATTTCCAACAGCTTTGTCTACTCGAAAGAGACCATCTTTGGAAGCTTCATACATATTGAGGTCTTCTATAAATTTACTTGCCTCTAAACCCAGATCATTGTATTTATCCATTTTTAAATGTTTATTTGTTCATTCAAATTAGTCAATATTTTCAATATTAAAGTTAATCTGTTACGTTTAACTCAACAAAATTCCACTGTTACTAAAATTCTTTGCTACTTCTTATGAGAAAAATAGACAGGGAAAATTTCACATTTCAGGATATTTTTCAAAACAGTATATTTTTTAGATTATCCACTGGAACCTTTAAGTCCTGATTACTCCTCAAGAAACTTAAAAGTCCAAGTTCTTTGAATTTTCAGTTTGTGACGAAATCTATGGCTCCCACAAATATTTCTTCAATTCTGCCTAGCATCATTTCAGCAAAAATACTAAAATTAAAAAAGATAAGATTAATTTAGCAATAAATTCAAGCCAAAATACACCTTTTGTCATCAGAAAAAGGAATTGCACTCTAGTTTAATATTAACCTTCAGGCCAACGTTATCTCAGTGAATTTAGTTTGCGCTAGCTCGAAAATTTATAGCCTGAAAAGAAAACAGTTATACTGTGACGGCGTATACTCGAAAAGCCCCCAAACTCTGGGGAAAGAAAGACAAGCTTCGGAAAAATAACAATTTAGTCAGAGGCGGAAGGAAGCCCGTTCCGATCTTTTCCCCAGCTAGAGGAAATCTTGGCTATTTTCACGTCTTGCCTTTCACCGCCCACCTTATACGTGAAAGAGTTATCTTTTTCTCCCCAAATCCTCTCCAGATTTCCTTAACTTCCTCAAGACTAGATCCAATCACTGCTTAAAATGAGCGGCTAAAGCAAGAGAGAGAGAGAGACATTGGCCCATGGCAAGCAGCCCGAGTATATTTGCTAGTCCTACCCCGATATAGTATGCAAACATTCGGATGATCACTGGTTGGCACTACAGAACTGGAGTTTTCTATATCCGTTTGCTGCCATTTAGAGGTAAACGTGGAGCTTTCTGTAGCCCCGATTTTTTTCAGCTCTGCGGGGCGCGGGCGGGCTAACCCGGGATATTCCGCTGCGCACGAAAGAACGAAGCCGAAAGGTCGTCAGCCCGGTCTTATGGACGCTTCCTCTGAAAGAACAAGGCCGGCTTGTTCTCACTGACTCCATTGTAAGCACGCGCTTAATCACAGACTTACTTACTCCAGTGCGGGTCCTACCTGCGGCTCGTGGGAAATGAATCGTTTGCTTTGCTTTCTCGACGTCGTGGCACTTTGAGGACTGTGGCTGTAGTGGGAGGTCACGCTCCGCTCAAAACGTACGCGGCGTGGCGGCTGGATGGTCTCTGCGCCCCGCGATCGGGTTTGCTTTAATTTCTTCGCGCTTTCCCCGTTCAAGCTCAAAGCTGTGGGCCGCTGAGGCGCTTCGGGCGCCGCCGCCTCTTCCTTTTCTTTCTACAATTCCTCTTCTTCCAATACCCGTAAAGTTACCGGAGGAGGAGTTTGCAACGTGGTTGAGAGAGCGAGATGTGTCAGCACTCGCTGGCAATGCAGATTGGGGAGGGGAGGGGCGTTGCGGGGGGCGGGGACAATTCTGGTCTTCTCTCTGCTGTGTCAGTCAGTCGTTAAAGGCGACAGGAACAGGCCGCAGGTTTTTTTCTGCTTGAGTCGAATGCTTCGGCGCCGTGCTGGAATTTAAAAACCCGGTAATTCCGAAGCTGTAGGATTTGTGATCCGGGAGCCAGATTTCTATCTCGGCACATGTTCGTTTGAAGACAGCGCTTGATAAAGAGACCTTTCACTGCGTTCTGACTGATGCATTTTTAAAGAGGCCCTAATACTTCCGGAAAACTGCTCCTAGCAAAGCAAGAATGAGCAAGCTACAACTTTAGGACCTGTACAATTCCCCCACTGTCCCCTTTTCTCTGTCTTCAAAGCTCATTTTAAACAGATTTGGAAAACTGAAGGCCCTACTTCTTGTTTAGAGATGAAAACAGTTAAAACTAACATAAACTTAATATTTTCAGAAGCAGCACCACAACAGTGCCATGTTCTCCATCCCATTCTTTAGCCAATGCTGCCATAGCCTCTGTTTATTAGCTGCTGCTCTTATTTACTAAAACGGGGGTGTCAAACTCACCTCTCTAAACTTGGCATGTACCCAGGTGTGTTAAGAATGTAGCCTGAGAATTCCAAGGTCATTGACAAGAAAGTTAACTTGGAAAAGTTGGTTTATCTATTACATTTTATGCCGGTTTACATAGCAGACAATACATAAAATCCAGATACATGTTTATGGAATCTGAAATTAGAAATGAACCAGTGCTAAACTATATCACACCAATGAAATATTGGGAACAGGCAACACAAAACAAGAGGTGGTAGAGATGGATGGATGGATGGATAAATAACCTTTATTGTCATTTTTACTGTGGGCACAATGGCACATATTAAAAATGAAATTTAGTTGCTCTCAAAGTGTACACATACATAACACACATTTAAACATCCTATACACAACATATGTATAAACCTACACCCTTACATATAAGTAACATATAAATATTAATCACTGTCCATCCTGAATGCATAACGAAAGGAGGAAGCTTTAGAATTCACAAGATTAATACTGTATGGAATAAAACTGTCACTGAATCTGGATGTTCTGCTTCAGATACCACGGAGCCTCCTCTCAGAAGGTAACAAGGAAAACAGGTCGTGAAGAGGATGTGTAGCATCCCAGACCATCTTGCAAACCCTGCTCAAGCAACGCTTATATGCTATGTCCTGGATGGAAGGGAGGGAACTGCCAATAATCTTTTCACCCTTCCTCACCACTCTCTGCACCGCCTTCCTGTCTGAAGCAGTGATGCTTCTAAACCAGACTGTTATGCTGTTTGACAGGATGTTCTCAATTGTTCCTCTGAAGAAAATGGTCAGGATAGGGAAGGAAGATGTGCTTTTCTCATGCGACGCAGAAAATGCAGGTGCTGCTGTGCCTGCTTCACTAGTGTCTCGCTGTTGAGCAACCAAGACAGCACATCCAGGAATTTGATGCTGGTAACCATCTCTACAGGTGAATCATTAATGCAGAAAGAAGTGTGGCTTTGCCTGCCTTTTTTGAAATCTGCAATGATCTCTTTGGTTTTTCCAGTGTTTAAAACTAAGCTGTTTTCCTTACACCAGTTCACCAAGCCCTCAAGCTCCTTGTGGTAAGCACCCTCATTATCATCATGAATAAGGCCCACTACTGTTGTATCATCTGCAAACTTCACAATATGGTTGGTGGCAAACCTAGCACAACAGTGATGGGTCAACAGGGTGAACAGCAGCAGACTTAGGATGCAGCCCTGAGGAGAACCTGTGCTCAAGAAAATGGTATTAGAGATATTTTGGAAGCTGGCACATATTGGGTTATATATTAGGGATAAACTCAGCTGTATTGCACTCTATTAAACTTAGTAGGACTAAAATCCAGTTTGGTGATAGTGGTTAAGACATCAGGCTAAAAACCAGGAGACTTTGAATTCTACTCTTGTTTTAGGCATGAGGCCAGATGGGTGACTTTAGGCCAATCGTTCTCTCAGCACTAGGAAGCAGGCAATACAAAACCACTTCTGAAATTTTGCCAAGAAAACTTTACTGATTTTAAGGCATGAAGAAAAAAACCCCTCTCTGGTAGTAATATGCGGTGCTTTTTTTGTAAAAAAAAAAAAAAAAAAAAAAGGTGCCGGAACTCACACACATCATACAACCCGCCTTGCCTACCCTACAAGGTTCCATCCCAAAAAGGTGCCGGAACTCCGTTCTGGGCGTTCTATGACAAAAAAAGCCCTGGTAATATGAGTGTTGAAAATATTGGGTTAAGAGAAAACGTCTGATGGTTTGCTACAGACCACCAAAACAGTCAGGACACACAAATAAAGATTTATTAAAACAAGTAACTGAAGCCTTAAAATAAATGCATACGTAACAAGTGGTTGTTAGGGATATTTCATGTACCCAAACATTTGCTGGAATTCTTCCAAACACAAGGCGTCAGATAAATTCTTAATTTGGGTGGATGGAAATTTTTCTTTTGAAATGTAGAGGTGGGCTTTAGGTGCTTTTTCTGGGTCCTTACCACAGGAGTTTATTGAAGATATTAAGATTTTGGGAACTTTGGGTGAAATGACTGTGCATTGTTAAAGTTCTTGATTTACAGAAAAACTTGGGGGGGCAGCCACAAAGCATGGATTTTAGAAAAGCTGACTTTAATAACTAATAGGAAGATTTTTGATTGTGTGTATCACAACAAATTGTGGCAAGTTCTTAAAGAGATGGGAATACCAGACCATCTTATTTGTTTCTTAAGAAACCTATATGCGGGTCAAGAAGCAACAGTGAGAACTGGACACGGAACCACTGATTGGTTCAAAATTGGGAAAGGAGTTCGGCAAGGCTGTATTCTGTCGCCCTGCCTATTTAACCTATATGCAGAGTACATCATAAGAAAGGCAGGGCTAGATGAATCAAAAGTTTGCTGGGAGAAATATCAACAACCTAAGATATGCAGATGATACCACTCTAATGGCAGAAAGTAAAGACGAACTAAAGAGCCTCTTGATACGGGTGAAGAAGGAGAGTGCAAAAGTTGGCTTGAAACGCAACATTAAGAAAACCAAGATCATGGCATCCGGCCCTCTCTATTCCTGGCAAATAGATGGGGAAGAAATGGAGGTAGTGACAGATTTTATTTTCCTGGGCTCCAAGATCACCACAGATGGGGACTGCAGCCAAGAAATTAAAAGACACTTGCTCCTGGGGAGGAAAGCTGTGGCAAATCTAGACAGCATACTAAAAAGCAGAGACATCACCCTGCCAACAAAAATACATATAGTCAAGGCCATGGTTTTCCCAGTTGCAATGTATGGCTGTGAAAGTTGGACCATAAGAAAGGCTGAGCGCAAAAGAATTGAGGCCTTTGAATTATGGTGCTGGAGAAGACTCCTGTGAGTCCCCTGGACTGCAATACGATCAAACCGGTTAGTCCTAGAGGAGATCAACCCTGACTGCTCTTTAAAAGGCCAGATCATGATGTTGAAACTCAAGTACTTTGGCCA